AGGTGAGGTACAACACAGATGCAACCTCTTCTGAGCAGTGCCGTGCTATGCTCACTCAGTCGTGTCCGATTCTTTGCGACCCCATAGCCTTTTGCCCACCAGGCTCCTCTGTCCATGGGATTCTCTAGGCAAGCATACTGGATGGGGTTGCCATTTCCTTCTCCAGGGGGTCTCCCTGACCCAGGGATCGAACCTGGGTCTCCTGCATTGGCAGGTGGGTTCTTTACCACTGAGTTACCCGGGAAGCCCTTTGAGCAATAGTCATCCACAGATGGCCATCTAGGGCAGCACTGCAGGCAAGATGCTGTTGCTATTCGTAGGGGAACTGAGTGCCTCTTTGAACTCAATCTTCCTGTGGGTCTCTCTGTGGCCAGTTAGACGGCTGCTGTGAAACCCCCGCTGTGGATACCGCACACTGAAGGAAGCCCCCGAAACCGGAAATCCCTCCTATTTACACTGACTCTTCACAGTGTAGGAAGCCCCGCTCAGGATTAGAGGATCAAAAGACTGAATGATGTCCCCATGGTTTGGGTACCCTCCAAAATGCTGCCTCTCTTCACCAAGAACTTGAAATTCTCAGCCACGGTAGAAAGCGGGGAAGAGTCTTCTGAGGGGGTCAAAGGAATGCAAATGAAGTTTCTGGAATTAAACATTTTGTATGGTGGTATCAATCATTTGTCCGACTGCCACTCCTGGAGTGTCCGCTGTGTGCCAGACCCCGTGGGAGGCACAGGGGAGACACAGGTGCCCTTGAGCCCAAAGAGTGATGGGAGAGACACACGCAGGGAACGATTCAGGAATCGGCCCTGGGTGCTGCGGAAATTCAGAGAGGTGGCCCTTCAGTTGGTGCGGAGGCAGAACAACCCCACCTTGTTCTTCTAACAACTTAAAGCTGGGTTGCATTTCTCAGGCATTCAAGGGGGAAAAAAAAGTCTGCATTTCCACAAGCTTGCTTTGTTTCAGTTTTACTAGCTCTCTTGGCTTCAATAAAACAGTTAAAAAGGAGGGTAGCTGCTCCCCCTCCCCAAACTACGCAGGTGTGGAAACTGATTAAACAGCAACTAGCAGCTCAATTAACCCTTGCTCCTGGAGTTGATTATCGTGATGGAAACCCATCCTATAAGCTCAGTGTTAAATGAGTCCTACAACTAGAAGAGCTTTCTAGACACAGCCCTTTCATTTCTCCGCTGCAAATGAGATTGTTGGGATTTGCCTCAGCTGATAAATAAGTGAATAATTCAGAAAGGTCCTCACTTTTTTTTCCCTTTGAGATCCTTAGACAGCAGCGGTATTGATATATTATCTCTTCCTAATGAAATTTCAGAAAGGCCTTCCTTGGCCATCGTTTAAATTAGTCCCAATCACACTGTCCCATTACTTTGCTTTTGGTGGTAGTTAATAACACTTACTGCTAAAAATAAATCCCTGTTTGTTCACTTTTTCCTTTTCTCCTCCATTAGTTTGCTTCATGAGAGGAGGACCCTCCCGCTCCCCCAATTAATCTAGTACTTTTAACAGTGGTGCAGACAGGGTCAGTGGTCAATAAATACTTGTTGAATGAACTGAAACTATTTATTAAGCATTTACTATGTGATTCAATCTTTAAATCTATGATATCATCCAGTCCTCACACCAACCTGAGGAGTTAAGTGCTGTTATTATCCCCCATTTTACAGATAACAAAATTGAGGCTTAGAATGGTTAAGAAATATGGCCCAGGTCACTCATAGAAATAGCAGAGGTGAGCTTCCTTACTGCGATTCCAAAGTTTTGGCTCCTTACCATTATGATGGAGCTCCCTTCATGCTCCTGGTTACTGCTTTGGAGTAGGAATATTCTCATCAAAACCCTATCAGTTAACCTAGCATCTCTGAATGGAAGGGAATTATCTCCAAGGCATGGACATTCATGAATGTTTAGTAAGAAAAATGGCCAGGGAGAAACCCCAAGGGATGCTCAGCATCAAACTGACATACAACAATGAGCAAGGGAGGGAAGAAGGGAGGTGTGGATGAGAGAAGCTTCTATTTTCTGCCAGCTCCCTGTTTATAAATACCACTCTATTAAAGTGGTTTCTCTACCTCTCTTAAGGAAGCCACGAAGATAGCATCACTTAATGACACTGCCCTGGGAACAGGCACATCGATACCAAATGAGCAAGCGATATATAACTCCTGCTGCTCTATGAAGCTGAGATCATGTTTTATAAACACCATAGAACTTTTATCATCCATCTTGGGTTGAGCAAAACCATATTTGCCCAGTACTCTGAGTAATGGACTGGACTAGATGGATGAGGGCTCTTGAATTCCCGGCTGGAAGACATTAAAAGTTTAAGAGTCCTATATAGCTGACTCAAATGCATGTGCCCTTCCTGTATAATTAGCAGGCATAACAACAATAAATATATAATTTGAAGGGAAGAGCAGCAGGACAAGACTGTGAGCCAGCAACTCTCCCTCCTGTGTGCGGCCATTTGCCACTTAGACTTCAGCTAACCTTGCTGGCCTTGGCTTATTTCAGTACAACAAAGGTTTAGGATCTCTCCACTTCTTTCCTAAGCAGTTTGTGCTTCCCTCTGAAGTCAGCTTTCAGGCATAAGTAATTCATTGCCTCTCTACTAGACATTCATTTCACTTTGTCTAAAGGGACTTAATAAATGAGCCTGGTTACTGTTTGCTGGGGCCTCCCTCAGGTTTTCATGTATAAAAAATGAGCATCCATATTACTCAGGGGAAGCGAATGGTCACCTGTCTTGCAGGAGAGCTCCCTGGAGACTGAAGGGAACAGAGGGCCACGCTTGCTCTGGGCATCCAGGAGATGTGTTGTCTGTCACACAAGAGCCCTGCTGTCTCAACTACCACGGCTTAGGAAGGATTGTTTGGGGTGCGGGATGGAGAGAGGAAGGGGTCAAATCACAGGGTCAAAATCCCACCCTGCAAAGAAAATCCCAAGGAGTGATGACCCTAGATAAGAAATAAGCCCGTTCATGGAAGAGACCTGTGTTCTAGACACTTCTCACATTCTGAATTTTCAGAGGGCCCTGAGGAGGCAGCTGCTCTTAACAGCTTCAATTTATAGTTAGAAAAACCGAGAAGTCTCTCAACCTGAGGGGCACCAGTTCTGTGTGAAGGGTATGTTTTGTTTATTTGTTTGTCACCTATTATCCACCTTACGGTCTTGTTTTTTCTCCTAGGAGTCTTCCTTGTTTGAGTTCAGACTGGGCCTCCCCTCAGCCAAAAGTTCAGACTGCTTCCCTTGGGCTCTGACAACGTTTGGAAATCCCCCTGCCCTCCACTTCCTCTCCTGGAGCCTGTGTTCCCCGTGCTGATGCCACAAACCTGGCAGGCAAAGCACAATTATCAGCTGTGACATCATCAGCTGAGATTCTGGACTGACCTCAACTCTGACCTAAGAGGAGGAAAATGAAAAGGCAAACACTCTTCTTTCCAGTCCTGGCATCTCCTTTCAGCTGTGCCGGAATTAAAAACAAAACCCAAGAAAGTCAAAGTCAGCCATGCTGGTCGAGACAGACTGTCTTCAAAATGAAGTCTTTAGATGTCAACTGCTCCCCTTGGAAATTGGATCAATGAAAACAAAGCTGCTTCCTCTCCTCTAGTGGCTAAAAGCTTGAACTCTGGAGCCTGCCTGGGTTCAAATTCTTGTCACTTAATATCCATGTAAGCTTGGGTTAATTACTTGACTGCTGGGTACCTCAGTTTCCCCATCTATCTAATGGGGATAATACTAGAGGTACCTACCTAATAGGGTGGCTGGGATTACTTAAGTTTATATATCAATGTGCTGAAAACAGTGACTGACGCTGTTAAGTGCTAGTTTAAGATTTTAGCTATTATGATTATGTAAAACCACACTTAAATGACTCCCTTTATGCCTTTTCCATACCCACCTGGCCTCTTCCTCTGTACTACTTATTTGCCACTGAATGCAGCTCCTAAAATGGCCCTCAGATCAGACTGTAAGGATGTTTAACCAAAGTATCATTCTAGAGAACTGATGGTTTGCTGACTCCTGAAGTTGGGAGTCTGGTAGGCAGTTTACTGTTGAACCCAGGTCACACTGTAACCTTTCCAGTGAAAAGGTCAAGTGCTTCCCTTGTACTCTTTGCACTGAAGCTATGTCCTCTTTCAGAGAAACGCAACTACCCAAAGGTTTCTTTCTGGCACTTGACACCATGCTGTCTGCGCATCCCCCACCCCTCTTCCCCCTAACTTGGTTGATGACTATGGAGTCATCCTTTCTTTCAGCAAAGTCTAGAAGGTCATGCACTTAATACAACATAGGGTTTTAATTAATTGCTCACTTGGTTGGTGACAGCTTGGAAAGTCAGGTCTGGGAACTGGCATGTGATTCCCTTTCTGGGAAGGAGATTCAGAAGTCACCATGTTCCATCACCCTGGGCTCACAGTTAAGAACCCACCACTACCACTCCACCTTCCCCCAGAGGGCCCTGAAAGGCATCCTTCAATCCAGCAAAGCCCAGGGTGGCAGGGCTAGGTCCTGGGCATCCAGTTCCCCTCCTTCCATCCCACTTAGCCAAGGCTTTGCAGCCCAGACCCTCTGGCTGCTGCTACTGTACTCGACAGAACTAGGACCGAACCAATAGTTTATCTACCTAGTGGTCGGGGAAAGAGGCCAACTACAGACCTATCAAGCAAGGCAGAGGACCACAAGGCAGTCCGCTTAACGCCAAGAGAGGTTCAGGGATGGCTTCATCAAGAGGTTCAATGAATGGCCCCCAACAGCGACAACACGACGCAGAACAGGAAGCAGAAGATCAACCACTACTTTGACCTCCAAAAGTCAAGTCGCCAAAAGAACAACCTCGGGAAAGACTCTTTAATGAACTCCTCTACCCAAAGACCAAACGCTTTCTCTCAGGTCTTGAGTCTCCTTGGTCCTAGGAAATTCACCCCCTGCGTAGCCCAGGTCGGACTTCTCCCCTACCCGGTCCACGGGCCGGGGCCCCGCGCGCTTACCATTGGCGTTCTTTCCGCAGATGAGATGCTCATAGGGCTGCAGGACCCCCCAGAGCTCGGCGTCATTGTTGATGACCATCTCCAGGGCCTCCGCGGACACCTCCCCGCCTCCGGCCCCTCCGCCGTCGGGGCTCTGGCTGGCGAGCACCCTGGCCCGGATCTCTTCCACCAGATTCTCCATGCAGGCGGTGAGCGAGATGGCCGCGTACTCGTGGATGCGCACGGAGATGCGGGTATCCACCATCCAGCGAAAGAAGCGGCCCACTGAGAAGGTGAGGCCGCAGCGCGCCGACTTGCCCCGGCGCAGCCCGTCGCCCGCGCTCATGCTATACAGGGACAGGGCCTTGACCGCGGCCAGCGCGCAGCTCTCGGCCAGCGCCCAGCTGTGCACCAGGCGCACGGCGCTTTGCACCTCGAAGCGGGTGCACTTGGCGTGCAGCACGCTCAGGCGCTGCGCCTCGCGGGCCACCCGGATGAGCGCCCGGCGGAGCAGCCCGGCCAGGCGCCTGACCGCCTCGGCGGAGAAGAGGGGCTGCCGCCGGCCGCCGGCACCTTTGCGAAGGACCCGGGCCACGTCTCCCTCAGTCCAGGGGAACTCCTCCAGCTCGGGCAGGCGCGGGCAGCGCGAGAAGAGGTCGGCCACTTCAGGGTCCTCGGGCAGCACCGTGTTCACCGTGTCCCAGCTGTTGTGGCGGCTGTTCATGGAGCCGGAGTAGCACCACCAGGCCGCCCCGCGGTGTTGCTGCGCCGAAGAGTTGAGCGCCTGCGAGTTGGACTTGGAGGACGAGAGGCTGAGCGAGAGGCAAGAGTCCCCGGCCCCATACCCGGAGTCCAAGGTCAAGTCCTCCAGCGTCTTCAAAGTGGAGCTGTACGTCCCGGCCATGGGGAGCCTGCCCGGGGCGGCCTCGCCGAGCGAGGGGCGCTCACAACTCCATGCGCCCTTCCCCAAGTCGGCAGAAACAAGCTCTAGGCTCTCCGGGGCGCCCTCCTTTCTCTCAGCACCGCGGGGCTCGGCGGCCGCATCGCCCGCCCGCCTACCCGGCGGCCGCAGGAAGGTGGGCGAGATTCGCGGCGGCCAGAGCCCCACGCTCCCGGCGTCCCGACTCCGAGCTGTCACTGGAACGATCCTCCGCCGCCCCTCCTCCGCAATCCCCCTGGTCCACCTCAACTTCCCTGAAGCAGAGAGTCTATCCTCCGCAGAGAAGGGATCCCGAGAGAACAGGGTGGCGGCGATCGAGGGAGGCGGCTCCGGGCGTTGCGCGAGTCCGGGACCGACCGGCGAGAAAACGCTCTGCAAACTTCTGCGCGGAGCCAGCCGCCCGCATAGCTGGGTACTGGGCTACCGCCGGCATGCAAATAACCCGGGAGGCCCACCAATCATCGGCCGCGACGGGCAGGGGCTGCACCAATGATCTTCCAGAGGGGCGGTCACTTTGCTGATTTCACTCCGCCGCGGGTGAAACCCAGCGCCGGCAGAGGCGGGGCTGGAGGCCGAGGGTCTAGAGCAGCCGAGGGGGCGGTGGAGGAGGGGGAAAGAGATGCCGAGTGAGCGACCTGGCGGATGGGAAAGTGGGGATCGACCTTAGGCTCGGGAGCTGACGAATTAAAGAAAGGATAAAGGAAAAGCCACTGTGCGTTGCCACCTTCCCTCCGTCCGGGCTTTGGGCGTCCGCAGCTCCTTTTCAAACCCTTTTTGTACCGAACACCAAAGCCAGCAAGTCGAGTATGGGTAGGGGAACAAGAGGGGTTTGGGACTAGAGGAGGGGACCTAGGCCTGGGGGAGGGGACCCAAGTCAGACGCCCCACCTCTCTCTCAAGACTTTCTGCCAAGCCCCTCCCCCTTTCCCGAGACGAAACTCCAGTTGTATTTGGAGGGAGGAGTTTGCCCCTGTTTGCTTCTCTTCCCAAATCCGTCTGGTTTTCTTTACGTTGCTTTCTAGGCTCCAATCAGAATAGAAATTCTTCGTAATCTGGCAACTGATAAATGGACAGCCTCCAGAGGGCTGCGATTCCGCCCTCACCTCTCCCCGCCACTTGAAATATTACACACGCAGTAGTCTGAGTGCTACTCCAGGGAGAAGGCCAGAACTGATCAGATTTGCAAGAGTCGGTGACTTTCCTGTTAAACCGTACAACGCCGCTTGCTGTGCTGGATCCTTCTTGTGCTTCAGTGTCCGAGTGTGTGTACTGGGGGGTGGGGGGGGGGTATTACGCGTGGTATTACACGCGTGCGTAATGGGTGAGCGAAAATGAGAAACGTCCCTAGTTGTGGCCTGCGCTTGGAACACCTGGCTGAACGCACCTCTTCGTAACGGTGTGCCCTCGGGCGAGCTCTGCCCGGCTCAGGACTCCCTTTCCTTCCTGGGTAAAATGAGAGCTGACCTCCGTTGTAAACCTGTCTCATGCACTTGTCCAGAGGCGGTATCCAGCAGATCCATGCCCGGTCCCACCCCGGCCCGCAGCTGTCCTGTAACTATTCACAGACACGTGCACGAACGTGGACACGCCTCCTCCTGTGGAGCCACAAAAGCAAGGAGGAGATTGTGCAAGCTTTTCCCCCAGGTCAGCCTCCTCCTGCGCTCTTGAATAGCTGCTTTGTACTATATCTCACAGGGTTTTGACCTTGGGCCGTGAGTTGCATACGAACTAGAAATGTCTGGTTTCTCTCTCTCCTTCTTAAATTAATTGCCCTTTCCCGGTGAAACTCCTTTTGCTTTGGCAGTTTTGACTTAATTTTGCCTTCCAGCGCATCTTAATTTATGCAATACCGCCTCCTGGTGGTTACAACTGGGAATGGCGTCAAGGCTGAAAGTATTGACACTAATGAACGATGCTGAGTCCGCAGGGACCAAATCAAAAGAGGACACAAGATGTGACTACATCTTATATAACAGAGATAGCAAGTCAAAGTAGGTAAGGATGTTTAATTTGTTTAAAAATGTGAAAAGGAATGTGAAGCATTTAAGTCTTATTAGGGGAAATATAATAGTAAAGCAAATGTCGCCCTCTAATGGACATTTAGAGGAAATAAATTCTGCCAAGTTTTTTTTTTTTTAATCGGGTTTTCTTTTTCTTTCTTTTTTTTTTTTTTAAATCATTTTGTTGTGCGCCTCCTTAAAAAGTTAACCCTAAAATAGGTAGCTACTGGGAAGCTGCTATATAACACAAGGAGCCCAGCCTGGAATTCTGTGAGGACCTGGGGGGTGGGATGGAGAGGGGGAGAGGGAGGATCAAGAGGGAGGCGGCATATGTATATATTCAGACCTCCCAGGCTGCGCTTGCACCGAAGACTCAGGCGACATCTAAATGTTGTCGGGGAAGAAAGGGTTCTGACCAAGCCGAATGTGCTCCATAAAGGCTATTTTCTATATTTATGTTGGGGGAAAGTCACTTTAAAGACTGGTGCTATTTGGAAGCAAATCTTTTTCTTTTTTGTCAATGGAATGCAGGGTTTTTTTTAATCCATTAAATCACAAGGAATAACAGATGCTGTGATCTCCTCTTTGATAAAAGGACAGACTGAGATTTGAAAGAAGTTTGCACAAATCTGTGAAACATAACCCTTTTCATTATTTTTTATAACCATCAACTGCCATCGTGTTTTGTAGTTTGGGTCTTGATTTCACCATTGTTGGTGAAGAAAATTTTCAATAAATATGCATTACCTGTATGAAGCTAAGGGGCTTCCCAGGTGGCCCAGTGGTAAAGTATCTGCCTGCCAATGCAGCAGACAGTGGTTCAATCCCTGGGTAGAGAAGATCCCCTGGAGAAGGAAATGGCAACCCACTCCAGTATTCTTGCCTGGAAAATTGCATGGACAGAGGAGCCTGACAGGCTATATAGTCCATGGGATTGCAAAGCATCAGACATAACTGAAAGCACACACATATGTATATATTTATTTATTGCTGATTCTCCTTGTTGTATGGCAGAAACCAGCACAACATTGTAAATTAAACAGATTTTTTTTTTAATTTAAAAAGTAACAAATATGACTTAACTGGAAATTTAAGACAGGGAACTTACTGAATGGAAAGGTTATCTAGGAAACTATCTGGAATGTATCTTGGAGGAAAAGAGCAAATGGGATTTATCTTAATATATTCAAGTTACTTGATGACTTAAGGTGTAAAAGGAATCAAACATTTGTTGCTGTTGTTCAGTCACTAAGTTGTATCCGATTGTTTGTGACCACATGGAATGCAGCATGCCAGACTCACCTGTCCTTCTCTGTCTCCCAGAGTTTGTTCAGATTCATGTCCACTGAGTCAGTGATGCTATTTGACCATCTCATCCTCTGATGCCCCCGCTCTCCTTTTGCCTTCAATCTTTCCTAGCATCAGGGTCTTTTCCAATGAGTCAGCTCTCTCTCTTTTTTTTTTTTTTTGAGTCAGCTCTTTACAACAGGTGGCCAACGTATTGGAGCTTCAACTTCAGCATCAGTCCTTCCAGTGAATATTCAGGGTTGATTTCCTTTGGGATTGACTGGTTTGATCTCCTTGCTGTCCACGGGTCTCTCAAGAGTCTTCTCCAGCACCACGATTCAAAAGCATCAATTCTCTGTCACTCAGTCTTCTTTATGGTTCAAAGGATGTCAAAGCTATGACAAACCTAGACAGCATATTAAAAAGCAGAGACATTACTTTGCAGTCAAAGGTCCATATAGCCAAAGCTACGGCTTTTCCAGCAGTCATGGGTGGATGTGAGAGTTGAACTATATAGATGTTTTTCTGGATTTCCTTGCTTTTATCTATGATCCAATGAATGCTGGCAATTTGATCTCTGGTTCCTCTGTCTTTTCTAAATCCAGCTTGTGCATCTGAAAGTTCTTGGTTCATTTACTGCTGAAGCCTAACTTGAGAGATTTTGAGCATTACCTTTCTAGCATGTGAAATGAGTGCAATTGTACAGTAGTTTGAACATCCTTTGGCATTGCCTTTCTTTGGAATTGGAATGAAAACTGACCTTTTCCAGTCCTATAGCCACTGCTGAATTTTCCAAATTTGTTGGCATATTGAGTGCAGCACTTTAGTAGCATCATCTTTTAGGATTTTAAATAGCTCAGCTGGAATTCCATCACCCCCACTAGCTTTATTTGTTATAATGCTTTCTAAGGCCCACTTGACTTCATACCGCAGGATGTCTCACTGTAGGAGAGTGACCACACCATCATGGTTATCTGGGTCATTAAGACCTTTTTTGTATAGTTTTCCTGTGTATTCTTGCCACCTCTTTTTAATCTCTTCTGCTTCTGTTAGGTCCTTACTGTTTCTTTTATTGTGCCTATCCTTGCATGAAATATTCCCTTTATATCTCCAATTTTCTTGAGATCTCTATCTTTCCCATTCTGTTGTTTTCCCCTATTTCTCTGAATTGTTCATTTAGGAAGGCCTTCTTATCTCTCCTTGCTATTCTCTAGAACTCTGCATGAAAGTGAAAGTGTTAGCCTCTCAGTCGTGTCTGACTCTTTGCTACCCTACAGACTGTAGCTGCCAGGCTCTTCTGTCCATGAGATTGTCCAGGCAAGAATACTGGAGTGGGTAGCCAGCCAGACCCTTCTCCAGGGGATTTTCCTGTCCCAGGGATCGAACCCAGGTCTCTTACATGGCAGGCAGATACTTAACCGTCTGAGCCGCCAGGGAAACTGCATGCCTACCAGTCAGTACATTTCAGAATCCTGTGAGTGTTAAATTGCACTGCAAGGATTTGTTCAGCGAAATTCAGTGGTGGGAAATGCTACTGGACAAACAACTGAGTTTCGTTAGTGAATTACAAGGAAACAGAGATGGAGAGGAAACCTGTATACTGAAAGAGACTTAGAAGACATATCAGCCAAGCACAATGTGTGGAATTTATTTGTAATTTTTTTTAAATCAATACATG